GATCGAATGTGAGATCGATTGTGAGATCGATTGTCAGATCAATAGCGAGACCGAATGTGAGATCGATTGTGAGATCGATAATCATATCGATTGTGAGATCGATCGATTGAGATCGATTGTGAGATCGGTAGTGAGTTCGATAGTGAGATCGATCCAGTGCGACGTGGGTCCCTCTCCCCCCCCTCACCTCCTTATCACCCGAAGGGTGGTCGTATAGGTATATGTATGCGTATGTGTCTGTGTATGTGTATGCGTATGTGTATGTGTATGTATGCATGCATGTATGTATGTGTGCATATATATTCCTCTTCCTATATTTTTGCAAGCCCGGGCGGGGGGAAAGCCCATCACCCCCCTCCAAAACCTGACTCCCGGGATCTGGGAATTTGGGACCCTTCGGACGGGCCTCGAAGCGGCCCCCCGGGCCTCGCAGGGCGTTTTGCCAAGCCTTCGCAGCACACCTGGGGCGATCAGGGGGGTCATCGGAGACGTCCTGGAGAACCCTAAGACAGCACAAGAGCGCTCCAAGAAGCCGTCATACCCCGAAAGATGGCGCCAAAACGTTCCAAGAGGCCTCCAAGAGCACCCCTCCGTAGCCATTTTGGCTCAAGCCACTTCGAACGAAGCGCCTTGGCACCGCCCGCCTCACACTGCTGCAGCGCGTCGCTGCAGCCGCGGCAAGCACCTGCGCAGCCATGCGCAGCTCGCTGGTCCTCGCGATCCTCGCCGCCGGCGCGGCGGCGGGCGAGGCTGCGGCGGCCCAGGCCAACCCCGTCCGCAAGGTCGTCCAGATGCTCCAGGCCATGCAGAAGAAGGTGACCCAAGAGGGGGAGCGCGAATCCGAGCTGTTCGAAAAGTTTAGCTGTTATTGCAAGACGGGATCCGGCGACCTCTCCAAGAGCATCGGCGACGCGGAGACGAAGCTCCCCCAGCTCGCCAGCGAACTGAAAGATTCCGAGGCAACGCTCGCTGAGACGAAGGAGGGTCTGAAGCAAGACCAGGAGGACCGCTCTGCCGCCAAGGCTGCGATCGCGGAGGCGTCTGGGATCCGAGAGAGAGAGAACGCCGCATACGTCGCCGCGAAGGATGAGTTCGTCGCCAACATCAACGCGATCGTGAAGGCCACCGTGGCGCTGGAGAAGGGGATGGCGGGCTCCTTCCTGCAGACCCAGTCGGCCAGCGTCCTGAAGAGGCTCCTGCGCGCACCAGCAACCCGGGACATGCTCGAGGAAGACAGGCAGACGCTGTTGTCCTTCTTGTCGGGCAGTCCGTTCTCCCAGGGCTACGCCCCGCAGATCGGACAGATCGTAGGCTTGCTCAAGCAACTCGGTGACAGTATGGCCACCAGCCTTGCCGAGACCATGAGTGCGGAGGAGAAGGCCGTCTTCACGTACGGCGAGTTGATGAAAGCCAAGACGGCAGAGGTGAACTCGTTGACGGAGGCAATCGAGGCCAAGACCGTCAAGATCGGCGACCTCGGCGTTGCCATTGTTCAGATCAAGGACGATATCGGCGACACCTCAGACAGCCTCGCCGAAAACAAAGATTTCCTCAAGGAGCTGGAGAGAGGATGCGACACCAAAGCCGCAGAGTGGGAGGAGCGCAAGAAGACCCGGTCGGCGGAGCTCCTGGCCCTGGCGGAGACGATCAAAATTTTGAACGATGACGACGCTCTGGAGCTATTCAAGAAAACATTGCCCGCGCCCGGTGTTGGCCTTGTGCAGGTGGACGTGACCCAGGCCACCATGCGCAAACAGGCGTTGGCAGCAGTGCAGTCAGCTCGCCGCTCCGACCAGCAGGGCCACACGAAGTTGGACCTCATCATGTTGTCGTTATCTGGCCGCAAGGTGTCCTTTGCAAAGGTTGTTTCGATGATCGAAAACATGGTGGCCATGCTGAAGCAAGAGCAGCTGGATGACGAGCACAAGAAGGAGTACTGCGAACTCCAGTTTGACGGGTCTGACGACAAGAAGAAGTCTCTCGAGTTCAATTTGGAAACGGCTTCGAATTCCATTGACAAGACGGAGAACGGGATCGCGCAGGCCACGGAGGACATTGCGACCCTCACTGCTGCGATCAAAGCACTTGATGAGTCTGTCGCGGAGGCTACAGCCCAGCGCAAGAGCGAGAATGAGGAGTTCAAGGCACTGGTCGCTTCAGACTCTGCCGCCAAGGAGCTGCTGGAGATAGCGAAGAACCGCCTGAATCAGTACTACAACCCTTCGCTCTACAATCCCCCAACCAAGACGGAGCTGTCGGCCGAGAGCAGGATCGTAGTGAGCATGGGCAACCCGGACGATATCGTCACCACCACGCAGCCTGGCGGCATTGCCAACACCGGTGTCACCGTCTTCGCGCAAGTTTCCTCGCACCGCCAGGGTGCGGGCGTCGCACCTGCCCCGCCGCCAGCGACTTGGGACGCTTATGCTAGCAAGGGCGGAGAGAGCACAGGTGTGATAGCGATGATAGACCTGCTCATCAAAGACCTCGACACCGAGCTGACCGAGGCCGAGACTGATGAGAGGGAGTCGCAGAAGGACTACGAGAGCATGATGGCCCAGTCCGCGAAGAAGCGCGCCGAAGATTCCAAGGCGCTGTCGGACAAGGAGAAGCTGAAAGCGGACCTGGAGGTGGACCTCGCCGAACTTCGGCGCACCAAGCTTGCGACTTTCAAGGAGCTCCAGGCGACGGTGAAGTACATCGCGTCTCTTCACGCTGAGTGCGACTGGCTCCTGCAGTTCTACGAGACGCGCAAAGAGGCACGCAGTGGCGAGATCGCGTCCCTGACGGACGCGAAGGCCGTGCTGAGTGGGGCGAGCTACTCGTTCGTGGAGCGGGGTGCCCACCGTGGCTCCCTCCGCAGAGCATGAGCCAGCGCCCCCCCCGTCCTGCGAGGGAGACGCGCTCCTCGGGGCGTGCCGCGGCCCTCGCGGAGCCGAAGCGGAGCGGGGCACTTGCTGCGCGCGTGGCTCGACAAAAAAAAGAGGCCTCCAAGAGCACCCCCAAGAAGGCCCCAAGAGGGAAATATCATTGATTTAATGTAGGTTTTTGGTGAATTTGGGGTTCTCTTTTCGGCTTCCCGACGCTCCAAGACAGCGGTCTTCTGGGCGTCCGAAGTCGCCTGGGAGGCTCCAAAATCGCCCCACAGCCATCCGAAAGGGCTTCCATGCAGTCCAAGAGAGCCCCAAAACGGCACACCAGGGGTCCAAAATGGCCCTAAGAGAGCCCCATGGTGGCCCAAGATGGCTCCAAGACACCCTCCGAAGCATTCCAAATCGTGACCGGGGCGTTCAGGGAGACCGCGGTTAGAGGCAGGTTGGCCTTAGGAAGCCCCAGAGGCCCCCAGAACACGCCCAGGAGGCTTCCAGAAGGCTTTAAGAGAGCTTGAGAACTTTGGTGAGGCTCCCAGAGGCTCTCCAAGGAGGAGCCTCCGCAAAAAGAGCTGAGGAGGATGGGGAGACTGCCCAGGGTATGGCGAGAATGAGGACAAAGAAGCATGGATGAAGGATGACGAACAACATTATCATAACGGCGATGCCAGAAAAAGGCAGCAAGGAGTTATCGTTCAAGTGTCCCCTTGACCTTCTTGCCGTTTCCGCCTGCATAGCAATCTTCAAGGACCAAGGTGCATGACGCGAAGCGCCACTGCAGTCTTGTATATATATATACACGGATCACAGTGGGGGGGCGTGGCCGTCGGCAGTTTGCGTGGCCCTTAAAAGCCCGCCGCAGGCGCCGATGTATCGAATTGTACAACCAGCCCGCCGCATGCGCCAATCTGTACGCCAAAGCAAGTGGGTGGTTCGCGGCTGGGCCACGGTGGGTCGCTGGGTGGGTCGCGGGGTTGGTCGCGTGTGGGTTGCGGGTGGGTCGCGGGATTGGTCGCGGGGCAGGTCGCGGGTGGGTCGCGGGTGGGGCGCGGGTGGGGCGCGGGTGTGTCGCGGGGGCCGCGGGCTGGGTCGCGGGTGGGTCGCGGGCCGGGTCGCGGGTGGTCCGCGGGGTGGGTCGCGGGTTGGTCGTTCGTGGTTGTGGGTCGTGGCTGGGTCGTGGCTGGGTCGCGGGCCGGGTCGCGGGTGGGACAACGACAGCAATTCACCGCAATGCAACAAGAGCAATCCGCACCGGGGAACTCCCTATTTCAGAGCGCCTTCGTGTGCCTTAGCTTGTGCTGATCTGTGGAAAAACGTCATTTCAGCGCCGATGGACGTCGACTGAGCGTTCATGAGCCTTGATTCGCAAGAACCAACCAGATGGTATGGCAGCCCCCCGCGAGCTGCGGCAGAACCTCCTTCTGCCCTTCCTCCCTCCTTCCTTCCTCCACCCTACCCTGTCCTTCTCTTCCCTCACCTTTTCTCTTTTCATCCTCCTCCTCCTCCTCTTTTTCATTTCTCTTCCTTTTCCTCCCATGAGGCTAAGAGGCCGCCTGACTGGATGGGGGCCACGGTCAGCAACGCCGAACTCACTGGTCCAGGGCTCCTTGGCGCCGTGGGTCTACTCCCTCGGGGTGGGGATGGATGCCGAGTGGCGCGACCCGACGGAGACGGAGAACCCACGCATCCCCATCCCCATCCCCAGTGGTCGGTCCAGGGCTTCTTAGCGCCAGTGGCCTATCCTTCGGGCTGGGGATGGATGCCCCGTGACGTAGCCCCATGGAGACGCCACCTATTCCCACCTGGGGATGGCAGGTCGGACAGGACAGCGGGGCCAAGGTTGCCCCTGTGGGCATGCAGATCGGTCTAGCGATGCTGGGCGGAGGTGCGGCAACGCGGGGTGCTTTGGAGCCTCAGGATCGACGATCGAAGATCTGTGTTTTTGGTCCCTTTCGGGCATCGGGGGGCATCAAGCATCCGGATGCTCTTTCTCAGGGTACCGCGGATTTTTCCGCTCCGTGCGCTGCGCGGTGGCTTCCCGCGGCCGTTCGAGAGACTCAAGCGTCCAGGATGCTTTCAGTTTTCCCTCAGCTTGCCTCCGGTGCTCGGGTTCTCAGTGTTGTTCCCCACCCAATAGGTTGGGGTCGTTAGATTTTAAGAACACGGACCTCCCGACCCGTCCACCCTGCATACCGCGGCCGCCAGATCCCCAGGCTCCCGAGTATCCCCGAGAGTTCCGCCCCGCGCCCCTCTGCATACCGCGGCCGCCAGATCCCCAGGTCCCCCGAGTATCCCCGAGTGTCCCGCCTCGCGCCTCTCTGCATACCGCGGCCGCCAGATCCCCACGCTCCCAAGTATTCCCGAGAGTCCCACCTCGCGCCCCTCTGCATACCGCTGCCGCCAGATCCCGAGGTTCCCGAGTATCCCCGAGTGTCGCGCTCCGCGCCGACAACTCATAACATGACAGAACGGTATTAGACAATAGCAGAACATCGTACAGCACAACACGATACGCTATGACAGAACAGTGCATAACACCACACCGCCGAACATAACATATCCGAGCATGGCATTGCATACCATACCATGATATACCATATGGTAACATACCACACCATGACATATCAGTGCATACCATAGCACAGCATCAACACACATATCATTCCATGCCATGACGAAACAAAGCTACCACAACAATTCAGTTCGGACCTGAGCATACCAAGACAGAACATGCCGCAGCCTCACGTAACATGACATAGCATAGAAAAGCACAACACAGCATAACAGCGCATGCAATGGCATCTTTGAACATACATCACATGCCATCACATAACACACCATGCCATAGCATACCATTCCATGACAGAACACGCCTCAACCTAACACATCACCACTGCACAGAGAGCATGACATACAGCATTGCAGCACAGATGACAACGCATAACATGATACCGGAGAAAGAAACACATCAAAGTCTTTTTAGGGCTATAGGGCTATGAGGTTATTGGGCTATAGGGCGATGGGGCTATAGGGCAATAGGGCTATCGGGCTATAGGGCAATAGGGCCACACGGCTATAGGTATATAGGGCTATAAGGCTATAGGGCTATATAGCCATAGGGCTATAGGGCTGTAGGGCTATAGGGCTATGGGGCTGTAGGGCCATAGGGCTATAGGGCTGTAGGGCTATAGGGCTATGGGGCTGTGGGGCTCTGGGTCTGTGAGTCTATAGGGCTATATGGCCATAGGGCTATGAGACTATAAGGCTAAGCGGCTATTGGGCTATCTGATCATCGGGCTTTAGGGCTATAGGGCTATAGGGCTATATGGCTATACGGCTATAGGTGAATAGAGCTATAGGGCTATAGGGCTACATGGGCTACAAGGCTATAAGGCTATAGGGCCATACGGCTATAGGGATATAGGGCTCTAGGGCGATAGGGCTATAGGTGTATTGGGCTATAAGGCTAAAGGGCCATAGGGCTATGGGGCTATAGGGCTATTGGGCTATAGTGCTACAGGGCTATAGGGCTATAGGGCTATAGGGCTATAGAGCTATAGGGCTATAGGGCTACAGGGCTATAGGGGTATAAGGTACCCGAGCACTTGGGCACCCGGGCACCTGGGCACCCTGGCACCCGGGCACCCGGGCACCCAGGCATATTGGCGGGCCGCGGAAATCGGTAACACAGTTCACCTAACCATATGAGTCCGCTCGGACCGGTACAGAGGCAAGCTCTGATTGGGGAATAACAGACCATGACATATCAGTGCATACCATAGCACAGCATCACAGCACAGAGCATTACATAACACGACAAAGCAAGCATACCACAATAAAACAGTTTGGACCTGAACATACCAAGATAGAACATGCCGCAGCCTCACGTAACATGACATAGCATAGCGTGCTATACCATATGGCAACACACATCACATGACACCACATACTATACCATGCCATACCATAACATGCCATGACATAACACACCTTAACCTAACACATCACCATCGCACAGAGAGCATGCCATCTAGTAGCGCAGCACAGGCGACAACTCATAACGTAACAGGGCGCGGCACACGATTCTACATCATAGCAGAACGTAACATAGCACACAACACCATCATACGGAACATATCCTCACACCACACCTTATACCATACCATAACAGTTCATATCATACCATAGCAATCGTTGTCATAACATATTACACCATTACATACCATGCCATGTCATACCACACCGTAGCACAGCATCAACGCACACACCATTCCATGGCATGACACATCATACCATGACAGAGCGCGGCATAATACATTGTAGCATCGCATCACATGCTATACCTTGACACCATAGCATAACAACGCATACCACTTCATAGCATGTCGGGACAGGGCATAACAGGATGCAACGGAACAACGGTTGCAATGACATAAGGGAACATATAAGGCGTAACATAACACCACACGTAAAAGCAAGCAAGGGTCGAACACGCTAGAACATGGCTCAGCATCAAAGAGCATACCATGTGACACTCTGGGATCACACGCCTCTACATAACACAGGACCGCAACCAAACCATCTCATAACATGACAAAGCATTTCAGCACACCATACAGTTTGTATTACG